AGCGGCTTGACTCTGGGGGAGCGGACGGGACCCCGTATTTTCCACTGGCTATGGTCGTATGTGATGGAAAGTAGTGATTATTCAATCTATATTGCATACCATCTGAAAGTAGCGGATAACCAAAAAATTCGGAAAAAAAAAACGTACATACAACAGCGGGTATTCGCTGGTTGTCACCGACCCAACTAATACACAAAGGAATACATACTATGACGTCACCATCAAGACTGGTTCGGAACTCTGCCTGCCAGACCATGGAAAGCATCGTAGCTTCTCTCTCTCTCTCTCTCGCAACAGATACATATTCATAAGCTGGCGATACTGATAAAGCACAAGTATAGTGTATAGTCCAGCACACACCCAGAACTTCTAAAATCCCGTCCAGGCAGGCGGATGATCAAGCCAACTAAAACACCATACACAGCCGACCACGAAGATCCTTGGACTTGTACCGCTCAAACATGTCGTTGATGCCGCTGACGGGGTACGTCTTCTCGATATACGTCTTGCACCCGTGCTCGGCATGAAGGTTGATCATGTCCTGGCACTGCTGGGGCGTGCAGATGAGACGTCCACGTATCGAGTGCTCCTTGAAGTTGAGGGCAAACGAGTCGACCTCGAGCGGGCCATCGGCGGGGAGACCGATGTCGACGATGACGCCGCCCTTGCGGAGGAACTGCTGGGAGAAGCTGACGAGGTGCCTCGCTTCGGTGGCGATGACGACGCGGTCGATACCCGGGTTGGACTTGTAGGGGGACCCCTTGTCGGGGGAGGAGAGGTCGTCGATGCAGCGCTGCTGCGCCTCTTCGGAGTCGACGACGTAGGTCCTGTCCGGGCGCAGGTGCGACGGGATGCCCTCTAGGGCCGTGTCGATGCCCTCCCTGCGGTTATCGATGGCGACGACCTTGAGTCCCATGGCCTTGGCGTACTGGATGCCCAGGTGACCTAGGCCACCGACCCCGACGATGGCCAGCCACTGGCCGGGCTCGGGGTCGGCGCGCAGCAGCGCGCCGTACACGGTGGCGCCGGCACAGAACAGCGGGGCCGCCTCGGCGAACGAGATGGACTCGGGTATCTTGGACACCACCCGCGAGTCCGCCTTCATGTACTCGGAGAAGCCGCCGTTGACGGTCAGGCCCAGCATGCCCGCCATCCTCTCGCACAGCTGCTCTCCCTGCTTCCGGCACGCCTCGCACTCCCCGCAGAACTGGTACGTGTTGATCGACCCGACGCGATCCCCGGTCCTGATCCCGTTCCTGTTCGCGTTGTTGCCCACCTTGACCACCGTCCCCGCCGGCTCGTGCGATCCCACCAGCCCCGGCTTCGCGCCCGCCGACTCATACACGCCCTCGAGCACCTGCAGGTCTGTGTGGCAGTATCCTGCTGCTCCGATCTTGACCAGAATGTCGTTCGGGCCCAGGTCCGACGGCACGTCAATCTTGCGCACCTCGTAGCCCTGGTTGAAGTCTTTGACTACCGCCGCCTCCATCTGCTTGGGAACCGTGATGTCCGTCATAGTGCTTGTGTGTGTGTGTGTGTGTGTGTGTGTGTGTGTGGCGATCGTCTGATGTAATATTGGTCACGTCAATCGAAAGTGATGTTTTGATTGCTCGTTGTTTGGTGAACCTTGATGCCCCGTCCCTCTCTTGGAATATATATATCCAGAGCTTCTCCCCCACGTCAAATCCGTCTTGACGCTCAAATCATTCAATCGTCATAGAAACTTGTCCTTTGTCTATTGTCCCTCGTCTAGCGTCATAGACAGTTATGATGTAGACGTTGCGCCGCACATATAGTGGGTCTACGGGATATTACATGTATCAATACTCGGCGCCATAAGAAGACACGGCGCCTTCGGATCAAAGGCTCCAGGTTCGGGATCGGTATTGAGTATCGATCCAAGACGTCACGAACTGCAATTAACAGGTTTTTTTTATTCATGGTATGACCTCTTCAAGGTACACGGTATATAGTCTTTATTCAAATCCTCATTCCCCCACATACGACCATAGCCAGTGGAGAATACGGGGTCCCGTCCGCTCCCCCAGAGTCAAGCCGCTGAGCGGTGGATTAGTAGTTGGGTCGGTGACGACCAGCGAATACCCGCTGTTGTATGTTTTTTTTTTTACCATGTGTATACTAGCATCTACATAATGATATACTACAAATGGTTGTCTTGGTGGGAGCAATTCTTGGCCTTGTCCAGGTCCATGCCTATAAACTGAGTACGCACACCATCACGACGAATGACAGGAACAGGCATGGCTAGGCTTGTAAATGGGTGCCACTCACGATACAGTGGAGTAGATTTACGTACTAGAGCTATATTGAAACTCTTGTGCCCACCTGTGAATAACTCTCGGATTGCCATTCCAGGTTGATTTCGTGCGTCCTTCTCCGTCGGACGTGGCCGATCTTTCTCTACATGTAGCCGAACAAGTCAAGCTGTAACTATCCGTCATTCCGCGCAATCCACGACAGCTAGACTGACAATCAAAAGCAAACTTGTCTACGGGACGACATTTCCATCCCGTAGTCAGCATAATACATGCATGCGCGTACATTCTATCGACCTCACAAATCCGACCAAGCTTCCGGACGGGAGAACGGCTACGGACAAGGGTTGGGTCCCGCTGGTCCACTTAACCCGCGCGGCAACGGTCCTTAGCTTGGCCTTGTAAGCTCCAGACAGATCAACATGTACATGCATATGCGCCGCTATACACTGCCAGCCTGCTCAAGATCCCGGTTCCCCAGATCCTGAGGTTCCTTCTCCTGCCTCTCGTGCTCGACAATCTCCCTCTCAGCCCTAGTACCCTCGCTGGGCAGGTACTTGAAGATGATTGGGATAGCAATCGCCAGCAGGGTTCCAGAGCCAGTGAAAGCACCGGTCGTGGCGAACCCCTTGATGAAGCGGGGGCCATCCTCGGCGGGCCAGAGTCGGCTACCGTACACAGCCGAAAGGTTGCCGACCGAGTTGACAAAGGCGACGACGACGGCACGCTTCTCGGCGGGTAAGGCGATGACCTCGGAGGTCCAGTTCAGGATGAGCGGGAGCGCGGTGTACAGCCCCGCAATGTAGAGACACAGCATCCCGTACTGGACTCTCGGGTTGTCGACGCCGATGCAGACCACGGCGCAGACGAAGCTGAGACCCAGGCAGCCGGCGATGTGCCAGCGGCGGTCGGACGTGCGGTCGGCCGTCCAGGATAGGACGACGAGGAAGACGGCGCCGACCATCCAGACCGGTATGGTCATGTACTGGGCCGTGACGGAGGAGTAGCCCATCTTGCTGACCATGGTGGGGATGAAGTAGGATATCGTGCACGACCCCAGGTCCATGACGAAGAGGATGGTGAAGACGTAGGTGCGCGGGTCGGAAAAGGCCGCCTTGACGGCCTGCCAGTGCGTGAACCTGGCCGTGTGCCGAGAGGCCGTCGTCCGCCGGTCGTGTATCATCCGCACGCTCGCCAGCCGGCGCTCCTCGGCCGAGAACTTCCAGCTCTCGTCCTCGGGGAAGTCGAGCAGCAGGAGGGAGAGCACGAAGGCGAAGCCTACAGTCACAACGCCCTCGATCAGGTACAGCCAGCGCCAACCGCGCATTCCACGGGCCCCCTCCATGTTGCCAGTGACGGCACCGGCAAACAGTCCGCTCAGGGCCCCGGAGAAGACGGACGCTGTGAAGAAGATGGAGAAACGCTTGCCTGCATGTGATCTCGTCAAGACATTGTAAACCAGAAACAACAACAACAACAACACCCCCCTGTCTTTCCCAAGGATATCAAAACATACCAATCTCAGACTTCTTGTACCAGCACGTCATGACGTACAGGATACCCGGAAACAGGCCGGCCTCGACACAGCCCAGGAAGAAGCGCATGGCAAGCATACCCTCGTAATTCTCAGCGGCAGACATGCAGGCGCAGATGGTCCCCCAAACGATCATGATGCCTGGGAGGTAGTACGAGGGACGGACCCTGGTGAGGACCAGGTTCGAAGGTATCTCGCAGATGAGGTAGCCGATGAAGAAGATGGACAGGAACATTGCGTACTCTGCAGGTGCGGCATCAGCAAAAAAAAAACCGCATCCCCAAACGACGTCCAACTCTCAATGTCCATCACATACGGCCGTCGGTGATTCCCAGGTCGTCACCCATACCAGCCAGCTTGGCGTTTCCCTGTACCGAGAAATGTGAAGATAAGAAAAGATGGTTAGCGTGAACTTGACCTGATCCCCCTCAACTTCCCCGAAAGGTGTGCTTGCAATATTCTGACGGTCAATGTATGCGAGGATGTACATGACCCAGAGCGTGGGCATCATGTACATGTCCAGCTTTCGCACCAGGCGCTTCTCTGCGTCCGTGTCGGGAACATGGCTCTGAAGGGCGGTCTCGAGCTCGACGTCGCCGCCTGCCGGGCCAGACTGAACGGTTTCCGAGCCGTCCAGGGTCTCCGGGATAGCCTGGCTGGTACGTGCGGGCTTTATATCGGCCATGACAGGCGATGTAGGCACCTGGATATGGACAGCTTCACGTTGCAGAGATGAGAGAGATCGGCTGCTGTCACTCAGACCTCGAGCAGGATTTTTTCCTTGCGTTCGATGGAAGAAAGTGACCAAGGCATGGGCGGTGAGAATGTGTATTATAGACGGATCCGAAAGGTTACATGTTGTAGGAGGCTGGCTGGAGAGAGGAAATGGAGATTGGGAGACGGCGGCAGATAAGAACAGCCGTCATGTGTCGGCTTCGAGGTAGGACCAGGAGGGGGGGGTATGTAGTAGTTATCTCTACCGAGTATATGTAAGTCGTGAAGCGAACACTCCTCTGCCCACCTCTCCTATCTATCTGGGTGACGACGAGTGTTTGGTCTCCACTGGTCCCTCGAAGCTCCTAGGCGGCTCACAGTTACTTCAGCCGTCTAGCATTGTTGACTTGGGTGGTGCTTATCATCAACGGATCTACATGCCTCTTTCAGGAGAGATGGTCGGATATAGGAGCTTCGTTATCTCTAGAGCCGTGCGGAGAAGACGTCGTAAACCATGTAGGCTGTTGGTCTCCTTCTTATCTGGAGACGGCCTCTATGCAAAGATCAAGGATGCATCGGCAATGTGCCGGTGCCTTTTTCTTCCCTGTATGGAACTGTACCGGTTGCAAGATTGGACGGGACTGACTGATGATGCGAGATTTGTCGTCGGTGACGTCTGTGCTCAGCACCCCGGTGAACCGATTGTGAGTGGTAATAATACTATGCTGCTTTTGTTAGAAGGTCAATAGCAATACCTGAACAGATTAGGGGTTGGCGAGCAATCTGGGGAAACCGGATTGTCTTGAGGATGATCATGATACGTTCCCTGACAGTTGGCAGTACTGAGGTTTGTGGATGAACAGGCTGTGTATCAAAATGCGAATATTCTCGTATGCCCGCTGCTTCGGCGTGTCTGACATCACTTACACGGGCGCCTCAGAGCACTCGTCGCCGGCTCTCTACGGTCCCGACGGACGACGGTACTTATTGACAAGACTAGACCGAGTCTTCTCTGAAGCTTGTAGATGCATTCTCTAGTCCCCCAAAATCATCCGTCACGTTCCGACCCGTGGGCAGAAAAGAGAAGGAGAAGAAGAGAAACAAGGCGGCATCGTGTGATATAAGCCGGATCATGAGGGCGGAGGGTTAGTGCCGGATCCCCAACATTCTCAATCTATCGGCTCCTGATGGGATCGTCGGTTAATGATAGCAGCATTCAAATGTGACAAACCCCGCCGTGAGCTGGACAGTTGCATTTGCATATAGAAGATGCAGGATTCCCCGATAAGGAGTTTCATCATTGCAGCACCATCAGGATCTTCTTCTTCTTCCTTCTTCTTTTTTTTTCTACACATGTTCTTGTCCGTTGCCATCTATTTCACCACGTGTTCCTTTCCTCTTCCCGCCTCACATCGCCTTCCTTCACACGCACGCTTAGGACGTCGAGATTCCAGCTGCGATGGCTCCTCAAAAACATGTCGTATTCGACGTCGTCGGCACCTGCGTCTCATACGACGCCATAGTCCTCGCTCTCGAGGACCGTCTCGGCGAGCGGCTGCGTGCCGAGTGCATCAAGCCCAAGCTCCTGAGCTACGCGTGGATCGAGGCGGCCGAGCGCGAGTACACATATCTCAGCATATCAGGGCGCTACGTTCCTTTCCATGACGTCTTCGAGTCGCTATTCTACCGTATGCTCTGGATGGCCGGCATCGAGGAGCCTCGCAGGTTCGCCACCGACGACGATCTCGGCTACGTTCTCGAGCAGTTCAAGAATCTGCAGGCCCGCCCTGGCGTGGCCGAATGCTTCGAGCTCCTGCACGAGGCCGGATTCACCTGCTGGGCTTTCACGGCCGGCGACGCCGTCCGTGTCCACGGCTACTTCACCCGCAATGGGATCGAGATGCCCGTCGAGAACCTGATGTCTTGCGACAGTCTCGGCATCGGAAAGCCTTCGCCTGAGTCGTATCGTCCACTGTTGGACCGGTTCGGCAAGGAGGAGGCGTGGTTTGCCGCCGCTCACATGTGGGATGTGTCCGCCGCCAGGTCAACAGGGTACGTCTGCCGTACTTGCTTTTATTCAGATTCCACAGCTGCCCTATACTAACCATGTTTTTTTTTTTATCTGTGCAGTTTCAAAGGCGCATATTGCACTATCTGGGAGAAGGAGCCCTGCACTGACTTGTTTGGTGAGATGGATGTCATGGCTGATGACTTTGTGAGCATGGCCAAGGGTATCATCGCGGCATCCGCAACAGCGGATTGAACACATGCATATACAAGTTACGTATGCGTCCGATACCGGTACTTTAACCGCGGACAAGACCATATCTACTTCGCAACCTTGAGCAGCTTGGTAGTAATATATATTTATATATATACATATGTACATGGTTAGCAGTGTTCGCAGTTGAACATGAAACATACCCGGCTGCTTGCCTTGATAAGCACATGCAGATAGCAGCGACAACGATGAGCCTCGGACATCCCTATCGCACACACACCACTCTTCGGCAGAAATGATAGCACTGGTGGAGGTCGACTACAGATACGATGCATCGGCTGACCAGTTATGATAAGGCCCAGGGGTAGCCGGTCGCCCGGTTTCGGTCACGTCTTGTTATCCGACCGCATATGCCGTTGGGGTCCGAAGCGGAGCATACGCCGAAACGGAGTGATGGTTGGGATGCGATCGGCTACTGTCGTCGGCCGACTCGGACATCGGATACCTCGCGCCGGCCGGTGCTGAAACCCACAAATCCGTGCCTCCGTTCCGTAACGCAGATCCGCGTCCTCTCAGCAGCCACCTGCACGGCATCAGAGCTTCCCGAGGGCTGTGATGTTGCTGTGGTCGGCGCTGGGTCTGCTGCAGTGGCCACAGCTTACCGCCTGCTCGAGGACGACCCCAACCCGCCGTCAGTGGTTTGTGCTTTAGTCTGGAATCCGGGGGTATCTGCTCCGGCGCCACGGGCCACAACGGTGACCGTGTCAACATACCGACCCGTACTTCAACGTGGTCAAGTACGCGAAGCTGTTCGGGGTTGCCGGGAGGGGAGGTGGGGGACGGGGTAGGCGCTCATCAAGTCGGGCGAGTCCTCTTCATGTTGTATCAGGGCCGTGTGATGATGGAGGAGAGATGGAGCCGATCCGTCAGCCGAGTCTTCTGTGGGCTGCATCTTGGCCAAAGCGCATTCCTGGCCGGCGACTGCTGTTCATGCTCTGTTCATCATGGAGGTCGAAACAAACGTTTGCCAACTTTCCTTCCCCCAAGATACTATGGATGAACTAGTACAATGTAATTCAACCATCAGCCGCTTGGATGGGAGCCGCGATGTACTTCTGCAACGATGGTCATCAGTCAAGACTCTCAAGGCTCGTGGGATTACCACTACAGTCATCTGTAAGCTGTAGTCGTAGTAGTATCATCATTTTCGTCTATTACACGCTGATATCATGATTACCAGTAGCGATATGAATAAGGTGGGGGGGGTATTAGTCATTCATTCCGTTGCAGGTGTGCGCAAAGGTGTCGGCGTAGTGGTGAAAGCGTAGTGTTAGTATGTATTCATTAATGTTGATCAATACCCCGCTATGGTTCCGAACTGCCCCTCCATGAGCAGCAAAATCTCGTTCGGCTTCTCCGCGATACCATGAACAGCCACCCCCCCCTTGAGGCCACCGTCCATCCCCTGCAGCATCCTTACACGGGCACCACCACCAGTCCCGGTCGCCAAACCCCGAACGTCGAGATCTGATACGGAGAGCTGTAGACGCACACATTTCGCGCCGGATACTCGACGATGCCTAACGTCATGGAGAAGATCACGGACAAGATCGCCGCCCTGCCGGCCGATGGCACCTACTTCTCGCTCGAGTTCTTCCCGCCCAAGACGGAAATGGGCTTCAGCAACCTGAGGGACCGTCTGTACCGTATGGAACGTGCCCTGCGTCCGCTGTTCGTCAACGTGACATGGGGCGCCGGCGGGTCGACGGCCGACAAGTCGATGCAGCTGGCCGAGCTGTGCCAGCAGGAGGTGGGCATCACGACGTGCCTGCACCTGACGTGCACCAACATGAGCCTCCGGCTGGTGGACAAGGCGCTCGAGGACGCGAAGGAGGCGGGGATCCGCAACATCCTGGCGCTCCGCGGTGACCCGCCCCGCGACGACGAGTACCGCCAGGACGGCGACGACACGGACGACGGCGGCGAGGAGCTCGTCTGGGCTGCCGACCTGGTCAGATACATCCGCAGGAAGCACGGCGACCACTTCTGCATCGGAGTTGCCGCCTATCCCGAGGGCCACGCCGACGAGACGCATCCCCTCGGTCAGAGCCTGGAGCACGACCTCCCTTACCTGGTCGACAAGGTCACGGCCGGCGCCGACTTCATCATGACCCAGCTCTTCTTCGACATCGACGCGTACGACAAGTTTGAGCGCACGCTCAGGGACCACCCCAGCGGCGCCTTCGAGACGGTCCCCATCATCCCCGGCCTCATGCCCATCCAGAGCTTCCAGATGATCAAGCGCACCACCAAGCTCAGCCACGCCGCCATGCCGGAACCGATCCTCTCCCGTCTTACGGCCGTCAAGGGCGACGACGAGAAGGTGAAGATGGTAGGCGTCGACATCCTGAGCGAGATGGTGGAGAAGATCAAGGAGATCAAGAGCACCGGCCCCAAGGGCTTCCACTTCTACACTCTCAACCTCGAAAAGGCCGTCTCGTTCATCCTCGAGCGCACCGGGCTCATCCCCGACGTGCCGGCTGGCAGCGAAGAGGCCATCGCCGACGATCCTGCCAGCCCCTCGATCCAGGTCAACGGTCACTCGGGCGAGCTGCGGGTCCGCCGCGGCAGCAGCCGATCCCGCACAGCGAGGAGGATGTCGTCGGTGGGGGCCGACCCGCATAACCGCGTCATCATCAACGGCGATGGGATCCCGTCGCACCCAGAGTGGGAGGCGAGCGGCAAGGAGGCCGGTGTGCGCGCCGAGGCCGTCAACACACGGGCCAACACGCTGGCCATCTCGGAGGGAGAAGGCGTGCTGGGCCGCGAGGCGACGTGGGATGACTTCCCCAACGGTCGATTCGGTGACTCGCGATCCCCCGCCTACGGGGAGATTGACGGTTACGGAGTGAGCCTGCACATGTCGCCGACCCAGGCCATCAGGCTGTGGGGCAACCCCAGGACGGCGCAGGAGATCAACGACCTGTTCGTCAAGCACATCGGCGGCGAGCTGGCCGCCATCCCCTGGAGCGAGGAGGAGCTCATGGCTGAGAGCTCGGCCATTACGCCGCACCTCCTCAGCCTCAACAGCCGAGGCTGGTGGACGGTAGCATCGCAGCCGGCCGTCAACGGCGCCCCTTCGTCGGACCCGACTTTCGGCTGGGGACCCCCCAACGGATTCGTCTTCCAGAAGGCCTTTGTCGAGTTCTTCATCTCCTCGTCAGACTGGAAGACGGTGCTCCTGCCGCGTCTGCGTGCCGCTGGCAGCGACACGGTCTGCTTCTACGCATCCAACGCCAAGGGCGAGTTTGTCACGTCCGACAGTGCCAACAGTCGCCGAAACTCGGCAACAATAGCGACGACGGCGACGACGACGACGACAGAGACAGTCGCGCCGCAGCCGACGTCACCTCCACGCAGCAACGGTAGCACCAACGCCGTCACGTGGGGCGTCTTCCCAGGCAAGGAGATTACCATGCCCACCATCATCGAAGAGGTCAGCTTCCGCGCCTGGGCTGAGGAAGCCTTTGGTATCTGGGCGGAGTGGTCCAAGGTGTACGGGAGGGGGTCCGACACGGAGAAGCTCCTGGGATCCATCAAGGATGACTACTGGCTCATCAACGTCATCCACCACAACTACGTTGAGCCCGACGCCCTGTGGAATCTCCTGATGGGCTCGAGCCTATCAGATCCTTCCCCTTCTTCCCTTCCGCAGAATGTCAACCAAATTCTATAGAGCATCATGGGGCGGGCAGGGAATGAGCGGGCGGGGGAGGAGGAGGAGAAACACAATTAGAAACAAGGAAGTCTGTACTATAGGGGACGGTACTACAGTAGTTTTTTTTTTTTTTTTTTTGGAATAGCATTCGTGTTTACCGGGGATAGTTGGCACGGTTATCTTGATGCATCAGCAGTACTCTGATTTTTTTCCCCATTATCGTGGTGGTCAGTTGTAGAGCCAAGCCACGATATATGTAGTCGTAAGTGAATTACAGTAGCAAAGGTAGTTTTGTGCTAGCCTGAATCTGCCTGTTCTATTTTCCCATGTTCTACAAGAAATGCCTGTAGCGATTGAAGAGAAAGAGTGATATGAGAGTGGTATGTAGCAGATAATGTGTAGAGCAGAGACGGTAAATTTACCATGCCAGGTATCGTAACTGTTGCTGTCGTTGTCGCCGTCGTCGATCTGTCCCGGACGCTTGGTGTCGTTCCGGTCCGAGTGAGCATGCAAGCAGAAAATTGAAGAGACGCCGGTTCCATATTATATCGGTGGGGGTTGGGAGAAGAAAAGCGCGGAATAGCAAGACAAAAGAAAGGGATGAGAGGATGAGAAGAGAGAAGAGGAGGAGGAGGAGGAGGAGGAAGAGAAGGAGCAGAGTATAGACGGGAAATCCTCCAGCTAAATCTCGTCATCATTCGCGCCAAAGTCGTACTCTCCGTAGCCACTGTAAGAACCGTATCCCACAGCACTCTCCCCCCCGACGGTGAGGGAATCCATCGAGCCGCTGTTAAGAGAAGGGGGTGGGGGGTCGGCGGTGGCGGTGGCGGTGGCCGGAGTGCCAAGGATGCTGGAGGGGGCGACGGACGGGATGCCAGGCTCGACCTTGAGGGCCGCCGCCGCCGCCGCCGCCGCCGGTGGCGGTGCAGCTTCTGTAACTTTTACCCTGGTGCGGGACGGCATGGCGGTGACGGTCTTGGTACGCTTCTTGGAGGGGGTGTTGTCGATGGCGTCCCTGTCGCTCCAGTCCTGAGCACTTATCTCCTCGAGCTCGGAGTCGACATCGGACGTGGTCTCCTCCTTGACGGCGGAGGCGGGCTTCCGCTTGCGCGCGGCCCCCCTGGAGGGCGTGGCCTTGGACGGGGTAGACATGGCGCTCCCGGGGCCGCCAAGGCCGGGGAGAGGGCAGGTGGCCACCTCGCCGCCCGACTCGGCCGTCTGGCGGAGCAGGTCAGCATCCTTTTTGATGGAGCGGAACTGGAACTGGATCCCGTCGGCGGTGGATTGGCCAAAGTATTTGGATATATCTGGGTGGTGGATGGACATGCGGGTCAGCTCAGAGAAGACGCAGGAAGAATCAAGCAGAGAGAGAGGGAGGGGGGACAAGAGAAAAACTAGAGAAAGAGAAGGGATGAAAGTGTGCATATATATATATATATATATATGCGTGTGTGTATGGTGCATGTATATATATATATATATATATGTGTGTGTGTGTGTGTGTGCGTGCGTGTGCGTGAATGTGCATATCAGAGCTGCGGGCATACTCTTCTTATCCACTTCTCCCTGGATCCTGGGCAGATTATCCGACATCTTGAGATCCCTCATGTCGAGACCCTGCTTCCGTCCCTCTGATATGATGACGGCTTCGGCACGGAGACGACGAAAGCGGTGGTTGAGAGCAGCATCGGTCATGTCGCTTCCATAGCAGGCAGCAATTTCTAGAAGAACGAGATCCACGGACAATCTAGTGTCAATCCTTGCGGGCTTCTATTTTTATTCTTCTTTTTTTTTTGTGGCTTCCTTTTCCATATGATATCTCTGGGGGGTTGGGGTTTCTGTCGCTGATCGTCTCTCCTGAGCCGAAGAGGGAGGGTTGGATGAAAGGGGAGAGAGAAGGTGCGAAAGGAGGAGGGAGGAGAAGAAGAAAAGTCAGGGATAGAGAAGAGGAGGAGAAAAGGTGGAGGGGGAAAGAAGGAAAGAAGAACAGGATAGAGAGTGAGAGAAGGAGAGAGAGAGAGAGAGAGAGAGAGAGAGAGAAGCTTACCCTTGTAGTTCCATTTGACCTCTGGATGGGCCGCGACGATGGCGCGTATGAGGCGGGCTTGAGCCTCGAAAGATTTGTAGTTTGCCTTGGCTGATGGTGCCATTGCGATTATCGGACGAGGCAAGGTCTGAGAAATGACAAGATGGTTAGAGCAATATTTTCTGATGATGACTGGAGAGAAGAAGAGGGAGGGAGAAGATGGGTCATGGTTGGTGTCGTGTGGGTTGTAGAAGAAGAAGAAGAAGAAGAAGAAGAAGAAGAGAGGGGGTAGAGGTGAGGAGAGGTAAGGGTGAATGCTACATGATGCAGGAACAGTAAAGAAAAGGTGACCCGAAAGGAATCCGAGAAGGGGGGGGAAGGCGATGATGGGACACGTGAATAGTATGTGTGTGTATGTGTGTGTGTGTGTGCAGGGGACCAAAACAGTGAAGAGGTGAATCGAATCTGGGGAATATCAAAAAGGAAGAGTACGAAAAAAAGAAAAAAGGAAAGAAGAAGAAGAAGAAGAAGAAACATGCCGTGAGAGCAAGTCTCCGACGTGTTGGAAACGACAAGAGAGCAGCGATCCCTTTTCAGCGTTATGCCACCACGCACACACTATCTCTCTCTCACACACACACAGTGAGCCGTATATAGATTAGAGAGAGTCGAGAACGAGAACAGCCAGGTGTAGGGTCGCCGATATGATGCTCTATACGAGTACGTCGAATTGCAGACGTCTCTGCTCTTGTCCCTGTTCTCGTTCTGCAATGGCAAAATACGATTACAGAGTAGATACTCTGCGTGAACGTCAGGTTTGACTCCGGGTGGCTGGGTTGGAGGAGAGAGACCCCACATCATCTGACATGCTGTTCCTTGTTCCTTGTTCCTTGTGCCCCCCCCTGAGATGGGCAACTGTGCAAATGAGGTAGGATGGGTACTCTGCATCATCTCGAACGGCTCGCACCCTATGATCGTGTGCTGGCAGGAGGTTCTGATGCTGAGAAGGGAACTCTGTAAGAAAAGAAAGAAAAAAAGATGGTATCCTGCAACTTCCGGTGCTGACGCTATCCGCCTCTCATCAGATCTCCACGTGCGCCTCCTGATTACGAGAGTCCGAAGGCTCTACATGTCTCTCGCTAGCTCGACTTGACGGTTGCTAAGCCCTTTCTTGGCTCAATCATCTCGTCCGCCGGTACGGAGTACGTCGTGTCGTCTCTATGTATTATTATATTCACCATCATACGATAAATTATAGCATGTACAACGACGAATACTCGTACAGGCCAAGATTTGGGGGGGGGGGGGGGGGGGGGGGGGGGGGGGGGGGGGGGGGGGGGGGGGGGGGGTACCCGGTCATGCTGCAAGCTGTTCCAACAAGCGCCTCACATCTAGATATGAATAAATAAATATGTATATATATATATATAAATATGTATATATATATATAACTCAGTAAATATGTATATATATATATATAAATATGTATATATATATATATGTGTGTGTGTGTGTGTGTGTATCATCTTTATATCTTCTTGCAATATCATCAGATCCTCCATCCTGTCCGTCTATCCATCCACTCATCCCTTGTTCCGTCGACGACAAAGAGCAATGATACGACAGGTAATGATACCCAGTAATAATAACAACAGTGTATAATAGCGATAATGATGATAATGGTAAGCCGGCCCCATATTAGCCAGACGCAAACGCCGCCGACTCTCTCACAAGATCTACAAGGCCACCTCATCCTTGAGACCGTCGATCGATCCGTGGGCATGAGCCGGCCGATGCGTGGGCGTCAGGCTGACGGAATGCGGGTGAGTAAGGCCATCGTGACTGCCGTGCGACGCCGCCGACGAGTCCAGGCTCGTCAGGGGGTGGTCCTTGATGTCCTCGGCTACGGCGGTCGCGCTCCTCCGGTACATGAAGAACTGCAGGGCCAGGAAGCAGTCGCACATGGCCTGGAAGGAACCGCATAGCTTGAAGGTCGCGGGGATCTCCGACGTCGATGTGAAGAACCAGAACATCTTCATGGCGTCGCCGCCCAACCAGCTGGCCAGGACCGACAGACGGAGGCCCACCGTCGAGCGCGTCCGCGCGTTCGACAGGACCTGAGGCAGAGGGAGCGTCGCCTCGACGGACAGGCCCGTGATCCCGATCAGCGACGAGTACAGCCCGTAGACGGGCGGCACGAAACGCAGCACCACCTCGCAGACGACCAGGCCGAGAAACATGTAGGACAGAAACTGCCAGTACCTGCAAGGGATGAGAAGAAGAAAAAATCAGCTTCGACGACAGCATGACGAGGGGGGGGGTTTCTTTTTTTCCATCATTCCCAGGCAACCAATATTGCTCGTCTTTCGACCTCTTCTCTCTCTCTCTCCCCCCCCCCCCCTTCCTCTCTACGGGTGATGTTCAAACGCACGGTTTCGGGGAGCGCCACTGCCAAAAGTTGTAGGGTCGCTGCATGGCACCCATCATGCCACCGTCCTTGGATGATCCGGAAAAGGGCAGGCTACCGTCTCCGCCTCGGGTCGACGGAGGAGGGCGGTGGTCGAGTGCGATCTTGAGCAGGGCCAGCTGCATCATCACCATGAAGATGGACTGGACCAGCAAGCTCGTGTCGAAGCGCGCGCCGGGCCAGTAGAAGATCCTGCGGTCATTAGCCATTCCCCTTCCCTGCTTTCGACCTCGTTCTTCCTCCGCCAACTGGAGTGGCCTATTCCACCAACCTCAGCAGCGACGCAACCAGCATGATGAGCGGGATGTCGAGGGAGAAGCCGGCGCTCGACTTGTTGCGTCGCATCGACAGGGCCTGGTCTCCGTACGACAGAAACGGCGAGAAGACGATGAATACGGGCGCCAGAACGCCCGTCAGGCTCGTGAGCCAGCCCATTTCTCGTACGTCGACGTCGCCGAGTGTCCGAGGTCGATCGTGGATTCGGGGGGTTGAGGACGCGCGCACGCACGCACGCAGGAGGGTCGGAAGTTCGAGGTGTCGAGAGAGCAACGGTGAGGGCTTTTACGGGCGCAATCGGTCCGATTGGCTGGCACGAGAATCAAGGAGGATACCACTGCAGTCGAGGGAGGCGAACGAGGCCGGAAAGAGAGGAAGAAGAGGAAGAGGGCGAGAAGAGAGGATGGGGATAAGTAGAGCGAGAGGATCGCGGTGGATGGCGCCTTTCCTCCGTTGGCAAGAATCGTCGCTCTTCTCCTATTGCCAATTGGGAGGGGACCCTTGGGGGACCTTTAGGACGCGCTGGACGCCAAGTCGGTGCCCGTGGTGGGGCCGCTGGCGGCACTTGCATCCAGGGGTCCAGGGACAACGTTACAGGGCTTCGATACGCTACGGTGGCTGGCATTACCGGTTCCTCGATCACTACGCTGGTACTCCGTACATGTACGCGATACGCTGTATTACTCGGTGTAGAGGGGAGGAGGAGGAGGGGACCTCTGATAGATTCACTTCACGGTCTCGCACGTGGTATCATTATTCACGATGCTCCTCTGTAGACTGCACGAGCACGTTCACGAGCTATGGCTTACACGTATATAACATCGTCCACGTCGGAGCCTCCGGCAGAGGACGCGAACCGCGTCCCCCCTCCGTGAGCCTCAGTACCGACGGGTCGCCAGACTCGACTTATCTGCCGCCCCCCCCCCCCCCCCCCCCCCCCCCTTGTTCACCGACAAGCACGCGGTCGCAGAAGTCTGACAACCACATCTGGCCTGTGTGCCGCCGTGACGACGGTGCAGCCCGAGAAGTGCCGCTCGACGACGGCCATCATGCGACGTACGTGTCCGCATCGGCCGAGCTGCCAAGATCGTGTCGGAGGAGGAGCATCGCGTCGCCCGCGGTCCTCCTCTTGAGGACTGCGCGCGCGAGGCTAGACATCTATCCGCCTCTGGCCCGGGCTCGACGACGAGTCTGAGGAGGTGGGTACGGCAGGTTCTCTGCCTCGAGATCCGGGAGACGCAGCTGTCGCGAGGTGCGGAGCTAAGAGCTGCTGCGGGAGGTACAGCACGCCCATCATGACCCGGTACGAAAGACGAGAGGGCCAGCCACTGGGACGACGAGACGATGACGGCAATCATGCCGATGAAGACCTCAATAGTGGCGTCCACACACACACATGCACACACACACACACACACACCGTCCCCGAAGAAGAGTAGCAATATCACGGTCGAGTCCTGTGTCGCTAGTGACTGCACCGTGTCGCATCTCAGTCGGGTCCGCCATACACGATACGCCATGTTCTCTCGGCTAGACGCGTTCGTCGGAAACGGTTGTCAGTTGCAGGATCCGATATTCCCGTGGGTTGACAGGCTCGCGGAGCCGCCGGCACAGGGCACCGCGCCGAGGACGGCATCGCAAGATGTTGTCTTTCGACTAGCCACGGGCCCGGTGACGGCTGTAAGACGAGCAGTCGGGATGCTAGCTCTGACGTCTCTGAGGGGCCGGGAGTGTGCTAAGTCCCAGTCAGAGACACCGCCACGGATGCTGACACGAGAGGAGACGGAGGGGGAGGGAGGTCTCGTCATCTCCTTCTGTTTCCTTCTCTGCCCCTGCTTAGCGTATCACGACGCGATTTATATATTCTGACTGATCAGTGTGTGGAAGGAACTTGTGATGTATACCATGAGGAATGGTTTTTTTTTCTTTTTTCTTTTTTTTTTTTTTTGCCTGCTCTGCAATCATTCCTGGCCTCATCGGTGTCCAAGGATCATCCGTCTCTGCTCTGCCGTTGACCGCCACGGGGCACTTCGATGGTAGACGCCAAGAGCCAAGACGAAGAGGCAAAGGAATTTATCACCACGAGATCACATTATGAATGGCATGCATCGAACATGGAGATTTAGAGACCTTAAAAAAAAAAGAAGAAGAAAAGGAAGAAGAAAAAGTCCTTGGAGAAGAAGAGACGGTTTAGCATGTACATGTCCAATCCAAGATGTCAGTACGAAAGCCATCGTTGGATGGTGCGTGATTGAGGGGTGCGCCCGAGGGAATATCCTATAAAGTAATGACCTTTTTACTTCAATATTTGGTCAATTGAAGTCCATACACTTGGACCCCGATACACCGCCCCTTTACCTTGATCATATTCCGGAAAGCCCGGGTGCGTATCTCATCGCATGTCACCTACAAGGTCATCAAGATCACCTACCCTGGTCTCTCGACAGCCATTGTAGAGGCCCTCAACATGCCGCATTCTCGAGTCAACCTCGGATATTAGGTCTCTCGTCATGGGAGCGGAGACCTTTGAGAGATCTAGTAGTTTTACTACTAAATTGTACGACTACGAGCAGTCGGGACTGAATCTGCATGGTCCTCAAAATACCAGCATGCTATCTATATACATGTAAATGAGTTCACCTTGACGTAACTTTTGGGGTCTCGGTATTATGCATCATAATCATCACACTACCCCATGGTGGAGCACAACTGCATCTAGCCAGGGCAGAGCAAAGAGAAGGTGAGGAGAAAGGGGATGCCCGGAGAGAGAAGGATATAATATGAAATGAAACGAACCATCCATCGACTGAACATGAAACCTATTGACCACAAGGAGAGAGAAGAGAGACAGAGAAAAAAAAAAAAAAAAAACTTTTGTTGACCCCTCCTTATCGTTATCCGCATTGGTCCCACCCCACTTGTCGTCTCTGATGCCCCTCCTCTGCCCCTCCAAAAAAAAAAAGAATTAAGAAAAGAAGAAAAGAAAAGATCCTGAAATCTTTCTGACTCTAACCCCGATAAACCGGGACATGGAATACATCTTTTCCTCGTCTTCTAGACAACCGTAATTGTTGCCTCTGACGACTGACTACCCCGTCGTCGTCGTCAGTCATCACAAGACTTTCGAGGAAACAACGCTCCCCACTGGAAGGAAAGGCAATGGAGTCTCTGCTGCTGGTCGGACGCTCTGCCTTCACGGCCGCTGAGGCCGAGGAGCTGCGTGCCCGCATCAACGGTCAGAGCCCATCGGTTCCCGTGGCCAGCCTGCGCGGCTCGTGGGTCTACTTCGTCAAGGCCAAGACGCCGTCGAGCGTGGCCGTCATTGTTGAGAAGCTGACCAGGTGGCTGGACCTGCCCGACCAGGAGGACGAGTCGGTCGTCCTGCCGTCGGCCAACGACGCCACCACCACCACCTACTACATCTCGCCCCGCAACATCTCGCCATGGAGCTCCAAGGGCACCAGCATCGCCGGCGTGTGCGGCCTGGGCGAGCACCTCGAGCGCATCGAGCGCGGCCGCGCCGTCACCGTCACCTTTGAGGCCCCCTGCGACGGGGAGGCCGTCGAGTTCAAGAACCTCCTCTCGGACCGCATGACCGAGGCCATGACGACGACCCCCCCCGACCTGGCGGCCATGTTCCGGGAGGGCCAGCGCTTCCCCCTCGAGATCGTCGACATCTTCGCCGGCCCCGCCGAGCCCCTCGACGTCCTGCGGGACTACAACGACAAGTGCGGCCTGGCCCTCGACGAGTCCGAGATGGAGTACCTCGTCGAGGTCTTCAGGAAGCAGGGCCGCCCCCCCCACGACGTCGAGCTCTTCATGTTTGCCCAGGTCAACTCGGAGCACTGCCGCCACAAGCAGTTCAACGCCAGGTGGACCGTCGACGGCGTCGACATGGGCCAGAGCCTGTTCGGCATGATCCGCAACACCCACAAGACGACGCCCGACTTCACCGTCTCGGCCTACAGCGACAACGCCGCCGTCCTGCAGGGCGAGACGGCCAGCTTCTGGGCCCCCGACTACTCGACCGGCTCCTGGCGCCTCAGCAAGGAGGTCGTCCACGTGCTCGTCAAGGTCGAGACCCACAACCACCCGACCGCCATCTCCCCCTTCCCCGGCGCCGCCACCGGCTCCGGCGGCGAGATTCGCGACGAGGGCGCCGTCGGCCGCGGCTCCACCCCCAAGGCCGGGCTCTCCGGCTTCTGGGTCTCGGAGCTCCTCATCCCCGACCGAGAGGCCCCCTGGGAGGTCGACCTGGGCCGCCCCGCCCACTTCGCCTCCGGCCTCGACATCATGCTCGAGGCCCCCATCGGCAGCGCCCGCTTCAACAACGAGTTTGGCCGTCCCTGCCTGCTCGGCTGCTTCCGCACCCTCCTGACCGACGTTGGCAAGGAGGCCGGCAAGGCCTCCTCCGAGTGGCGCGGATACCACAAGCCCATCATGATTGCCGGCGGCGTCGGCACCGTCCGTCCCCAGCACGCCCTCAAGGACCCCGAAGACGTCCACGATGGCGCCCACGCCATCGTCCTCGGCGGCCCCGGCATGCTCATCGGCCTCGGCGGCGGTGCCGCCTCCAGCAGTGCCTCTGCCGAGGAGACGGCCGAGCTCGACTTCGCCTCGGTCCAGCGCGGGAACCCCGAGATGGAGCGCAGGGCCCAGATGGTGATCGATGCCTGCGTCGCCCTCGGCGATCAGAACCCCATCGCCATGATCCACGACGTCGGCGCCGGCGGCCTGTCCAACGCCCTTCCCGAGATCGTCAAAGACGCCGGCTTCGGCGGCAATTTCGAGCTCCGCCAGATCCACACCGCCGACCCCAGCATGAGCCCTCTACAGATCTGGTGCAACGAGTCCCAGGAGCGTTACGTCCTGCTCGTCAACACCGAGGGTCTCAACCGCTTCGTCAGCATTTGCCGTACGCCATCCATTTCTTCTCTCTCCCCCTCTCCCCCTCTCCCTCTCTAAATCCTCTCTACGTTTCCCTTTCCCATTCTGTCCCTGTCCCTCACGTACGTACAAGGCTGACATGCTGAGCTGAATCGCAGGTCGCGAGAGGTGCCCCTTCTCCGACGTTGGCAACGTCGTGGCCAAGGATGCGGACGGCAACTCCAGGCTTATCCTTACGGACCGCGACTCCCAGAATGGCCCTTCACCGATCGACCTGCCGATGGATGACCTGTTCCCTGCTGGAAGGCGTCTGGAGCGTGTCGTCGAGACGAGGGACCTGGGCCTGCCCGCCTTCGACGCCGCCGCCGAGCTGCAGTCGGTGTGCGGGCCCGACGCCTCCAAGGGAGACGTCATCGCCGAGGCCGCCAGACGCGTGTTCCACATGCCCTCCGTCGGCTCCAAGTCGTTCCTCATCACCATCGGCGACCGTACCGTCGGCGGCCTGTCGATCCGCGACCAGATGGTCGGCCCGTGGCAGACGCCCGTGGCCGACTGCGCCGTTACCGCTACCTCGTTCGGCATCGGCGCCAAGGAGCGTAACGGAGAGGTGATGGCCATGGGTGAGAGGCCGCCCCTGGCTCTCATCTCGCCGGCTGCCTCGGCGCGCATGGCCGTGGCCGAGTCCCTGCTCAACCTGGGTGCCGCCGACTTCCTGGGCGGCATGGAGAGGATCAAGCTGTCGGCCAACTGGATGGCGGCGGTGAACCACCCCGGCGAGGGTGCCGGTCTGTACAAGGCGGTCGAGGCCCTGGGCATGGACCTCTGCCCCAAGCTCAAGATCTCCATCCCGGTGGGCAAGGACTCGACGTCGATGAAGGCGTCGTGGAAGGACCGCGAGACCGGCGAGGTGAAGAGCGTGACGGCGCCCATGTCGGTCATCATCACAGCCGTGACCGTCGTCGACGACGTCCGCAACACGTGGACGCCGCAGCTCCGCCGGTACGAAGACGTGGGCGAGACGCTCCTCATGTTCGTGGACCTGGCGCAGGGCCGCAAGGCCATGGGCGGCTCGGCGCTGGCGCAGTCGCTGGGCAAGGTGGGCAACGAAGCGCCCGACGTGCGCAGCACGGAGCTCATCGGCGACTACTTCGATGCGCTGTCTCAGCTGCACAAGAGCGGCGTGGTGCTGGCGTACCACGACCGGTCCGACGGCGGTCTCCTGACGACGGTGGCCGAGATGATGTTCGCCGGCCGCTGCGGCGTCTCCGTGGAGCTGGACGAGCTGGCCAACACGGCGTCGGTCGGCGACCTGCTCGACGCCCTGTTCAACGAGGAGCTGGGCGCCGTCTTCCAGATCCGCAAGAAGGACGAGACCAACTTCAAGCGCTGCTTCGCCACGTGCGGCCCGCCCCCCGGCCTGATCAAGAGATTCGGTGCGGTGGTGCCCAGGGCCAGGCAGACGCTGACGATGCGTTACGGCGCCCGTCCCGTGGCCCAGCTGGACCGCGCGGAGATGCAGCAGTGGTGGTCCGAGACGTCGCACGCCATGCAGAGGAGGCGAGACAACCCTGCCTGCGCCGACTCCGAGTTCCGGACGATTGCCGACTCGGCGGACCCGGGTATCTCGTACAGGCTCAGGTACAACCCGGCGGAGAACATCCTGCCTCTGAGCGCATCCATCGGCGGGCTGGTGCGCAAGACGCCGCGCGTGGCGATCCTGCGCGAGGTGGGCGTCAACTCCCATCGAGAGATGGCGTTCGCCTTCAAGGCGGCCGGCTTCGACGCGGTCGACGTCCACATGAGCGACCTGGTTGAGGGTCGCTCGCTGCACGACTTTGTCGGCCTCGCGGCCGGCGGCGGCTTCTCGTACGGCGACGTGTTCGGAGCCGGAGTCGGGTGGGCGCAGTCGATCCTGGAGCACAGGCACGTCCGGCAGGAGTTCCAGAACTTCTTCGCGCGCGCCGACACGTTCGCGCTGGGAGCCTGCAACGGCTGCCAGATGCTCACGCGCCTCAAGGAGCTCATCCCGGGGGCGGACAACTGGCCTACATTTGTGGACAACGCCAGCAGGCAGTACGAGGCGCGGTTCACCATGGTCAAGATCGACGAGGAGGAGAAGCAGCCGCAGTCGGGCGAGGCCAGGAAGCAGACTCACTCCGTCTTCTTCCACGGCATGGGCGGCTCGGCCCTCCCCATCGCCGTCGCCCACGGCGAGGGTCGGGCGTCCTTCCCGTCGGCCACGGCGCAGGAGAAGCTGGTGGCGGACGGCATGGCGCCCATCCGCTACGTGGACAACCGACTACGCGTCGCCCAGCCGGAGAGCTACCCCTTCAACCCCAACGGCAGCCCCGAGGGTATCGCCGGTGTGGTCAGCCGGGACGGACGTGTCCTGGCTCTCATGCCTCACCCAGAGAGGACCATCATGGCCGACGTGGGCAGCTACATAGCTCCCGACCAGGTTGAAGGCTGGGGAGAGTTTGGACCTTGGGTTCGTCTATTCAAGAGTGCTAGGAGGTGGGTTGGCTGATTTGGTTTCTGTTCTGTCCATCTCCTGCGGTTTTTCTTGGGGGGGAGGGGGTTTTTTCTGGTGGTTTTTTCTCCTTTTTTCTATTACTGTCCAAAAATTCTCCCCTCGAAGAATGAGAAGGAGGGGGAGGAAAAAAAAAAGATATCTCATATATACATTATATATTCCCAAAGAGAAGGGAAGAATAAAAATGAAGAGGAAAAAAAAAAGATCCGTGTATGTTCAAGACACTGCTGATATGATACAAGACATGATGGGAGGTGATACGGCAGAGCATACCGATTCTCTTCTCCCAACTAGGTGACGGATACATGATTTTTTTTTCCACTTTTATGTATTTATTTTACTCATGGAACCCAGCTCGTCGTTCCCGAATCTCAATGTCTCTCCTCTCACCCTCTGATTTCCTTCTAATGAATACTCATACGTCGTGTATCTGTGCGGATCATAAGACATTGAAGGGTTTTCCCTAATTTTCAAAGGAGGGGTTTTTTTTTTCCTCTTTGGGGAAAAGTGCCAGTATCCGACCTAGCTACCGGGTAAGCTCCCTTTTTTTCCCCTCCTCTCACATACCCGGGAGATTCGAAGGGTTATCATTTACTCGTAGACCAAAAAAAAAAAAAAGAAACCCCCGGGTATTTCAGAGAATGTCTACGAGTACTACTCACTCCCCGTATTGAATATGTAGATGGTGAAACTGCCCCTGTCCCATGTGTCGGAACATCAATCTACATGGGACATCTGTTTAGAGTGCGCGTGTTTGCCTTTCCCCTCTCCCCCCCCC